AAGAACTAAAGAGCTAAAGAAAACAGAAAACAGAAAAGAGAATAGATTGGGGCCCAAGTATCCGTCGTCGCCTGATGTCAATGGAAAGAGAGATATCAGTTAACGGCGCACCGCAAGAAAGAATCGGCAATAAGAGTGGCTATCAGAAAAACCCACAAGCGCACAGCGGACTGCCATGGGGGGTTGGTGGAGGGGGCTGGAGTCCACATTTAGGACTGCACCGCGGGTGGCATATCGATTTTAGTTTGCTCTGGTGGCCTCCTCGCTCCTGCCCATGTTGTTTACCTTGGCTATTTGCTTTGACCTGTTGTGCTTCGAAGCTCGCTCCATGAATACACTGTTCTTCGTTCCCCTCGCTCCAATGAGTAGGAGCGGGTGGAAACTCGTCTCTTAGGGGCAGGGGTACCTCCAGAGCTTGTCGCTTCAATTAAAAGTGGAAATACAAATTCCAGACACTCCGATACTTGGCCAGTGTGCAGGATATCTGCGATATACAACTGCAAAGGGCAGGACATATGTACATATGTACATAGGTTGTACATAGGAGTGCATGCAAAGAAGCAGCCAAATTAATTATCAGAGCTCCCTAATTGCCCCGTTGTTCGCTGCACCAAAAGCCGCAGCACCAGCAACGTAATAAAAACTATCTACGACCACCAGCTCGTGGCTAAGTAGGAAGCGCGGCGAACCTATTGCAGCTTCCAGGTCAGGTCCTGGGAAAAGGCTGTGTGTGTGGAATACAGGATGGGGGTATACTCAGGTTAAGGCCGTGCGAGCATGGCCCATGCCCGGCGCTGCAGTAGAGCTGACACGGTGACCTAAAGGCGACAACAGCCGCATGCAGAACGAGGAAGAAGAGGCAGAAGAGGCAGGGGCACAGCCCCAACGACGACACAATGAAAACCAACAAACAACACACAGAAATTGTGAGCTTTATGCCATTCGCTGCTGCTTCTGAAAAAGTAGGAGCCCGAGAAGCCGTGCTAATAAACAATGGGCGACCGCAGCGGAGAAATGGGTTCGGCTGGGGGCTGGTCAGGATATGGAGCGGCACAGGGAATGAAGGGAGCTGAAGTGGCAAGTGGCAGACGCATCTGAGACTGCTCCTGCTACTACTAGATGTTTTTAGCTGTTTTACGCTTTTAGGGCAATTTGGGGACAACGTGTCGTATGCGTATGCGTGAGCGTGTCCGTGTCCGTGTCGGTAGCTGTGTCTGTGTCCGTGTCCGTGTCCACGATGCTTTTGCAGGTGTCAAGTGCCAAGTGTGTAGTTTACCGCAAAGTGCTGCCCTCCATGAGCATGTGTGCGTGTGTATCGTCCATGTTTTTTAGTTTTCATAACCAAAAGCAGTAAAGAAAAAAACGACAAAGAATATTTTCCGTTCGAAAGCCACTGCGGCAGCCATAATGGCAGCTAGCTACCATATACAGACGCAAAGAGAGAGAGAGAGAGAGAGAGGGAGAGTGTACGCGGCCTTAAATTGTTCAATTCTAAGGCTTCGCAGCAGCATTTACGAGCGACAACAAACAACGGAGGAGCTGCCGGCACAAAAGAGGTCGTTAAATGCCGCTCCCTCCATATATTGTTTGCCTTTGCCCGCACCAAAGAAGGGTCTCCCTTCCTCCGAGAAGACCTCCTTCGAACTTCAGAACGGAGAGAAAGTTTCCCTTTGAATTAAAGCCTCATCAGAGGCTGACACAGGGGCAGAGGCAGAGCAGAGGCGTATCTTTTAAAGATGAGTCCCAGAGTCCCCTCTGGCTTTAACTTCGAAATAGTAATCTGCGCTAAATAGACTTCCTTCCTTCCGTCTGACTGTCGGTCTGTGGGAGAAGGCTCTCATGCTCGTAAGCCAACAAATTAATTAGTTTTCAACACTCGAGTTACTTTAAATGGCAATTCGTGTAATTAATTTCGCACACATTGACAGCCGGCACAAGCCTTGTGCATGCACAAGGACGAACGCAAGTGCAAAGCAAATCTAAATCATCAGAAGAAGCAGCAGAAACAGCAGCAGCAGCCCTCAAGTAATCGGAAGTGTTCGTTTGGTATGTTAAAACCAAAAGACCTGTGCAGGTCAGGGGCCATAGCCATAGACACAGCTACAGCCACATATTCAGGACACAGGATACAGACGGAGATGGAGACGGAGACCCGTCCAAAGGAAGCAATTTTCTTGGTGAATGCGTTTGCACAAAGCGAAGATATTGCAAATACGACAGATACGACGAGTGTATAGTACGAGTGCACAACTTCAAGTGTGGCAGAGGAGAGGGGATGGATATATTGGAGGGACACAGGAGCATATCCTGTGGCCAGTCAACCAGGACTCTCTCTCTCTCGAATATCTCCAGATATTCGCTGGTACAATCACTCCAACTGCAAAGAAATCAACTGCCAAAGTCATAAATATTCGGTTTGCAAACTGCAAATTATTTCAGCATCAAGCAGCAGCCTCCTCAACGAGTAGCTCCTGCCGCCTGCCTCCTCACGGCGCTCGTCTCTCGAGTAAAAGTTAAATAATGCAACGATGGCAAAACATGTGAGGATAGAAACGTTGCCCATGGGCAGGGGCAGGCGCCAGGAGCCACGACGAATGGGGCAGACAGCCACTTTGACCGGCGGCGGAGGGAGCAGTGAAAAATTGTGCAGAAATATTTAAACTGCAATTTCAAAGCGATTTGTTTTATGGCCGAAAAGCTAGAGAATTGTTTCGCTGGCACCATGGTGCAGCATTTCCAGATCTCTCTCTTTCTCTCTCTATAGCTCGGGCTCCGCATCCGCTTCCGGCATACGCTCAGCTGCACCCGACAGCGCGGAAAACTTAACTCGGATTTGATGTGGCCAAGCAGCTGTTAATGCTGCATGATTTATACGGAGAGGAGGAGCAGGAGAAGAACTAGGCTCCTGCCCCGCCAAGCAGCTCATTATATGCCACTAAATCAGGAGTTTGGATTTCCAGATGTGTGCCGAGGAGCACTGCATCTGCATCTACATCACTCTGTCATTCAGTATTTTTTGGCAGTGAAACAGTGCAGAGTCCGGACTGGACTCCGGAGCAGCGCAGTGGCAGTGAGGGGCAGTGGTCAGTGCACTTCCACTTCCACATCCGCTTCCGCCTGGTGGTCGTAAATTCTCCGCTCTGGCCGCTTTGCATGTCGTCCAGTTTATTATTTTATCGGGCCAGCCTCTGCGGTACATTCCCCATGCAACATTCTGCATAGCTGCCAATTGTCATCGCTGTGGCCTCCAAGTCCACCGCGTTCGTCGCATCTGTCCTGTCCTGTCCTGTCGTGCCTACTGATAGACGCTTGTAATGCGAGGAGATCCTGGCATGAGCACTGCATCCCCCTTCCTTGTTGCACCGCCGCCTGCTGTCGTGCTGGCTGGCTGGCGTGTGGAAAATGATTTGTTTGCCCGCCGACTGCAGTGGGCCTCTGTTTTTCTTTCGCGATAAATCAACACTCAAACATGGCCGCCGCAGACACGCCCTCGACCCGCGTGTGATCTATTTCGGGGCTCGGCACCCACTAAGCCTCAACTATCTGCGGATTACTATGTGCCCTCGTGCATTAGTGCGAAATTAGAACTATTATATTTATAGCGCAAATAGTCCGCACATCATTCCGCAGCGGGAGGGAATAGGTAAGAGCCGGTAAGGTAAAAGGCGAATGGTACGAGTAAAAGCCAAAAGGGGAGCCAAAAGGCCCATATCCACAGAGCCATTAGACACGCCTGGCAGTCGCCGCAGCCGTAGCCCTAGCCGTAGTCGTCGCTGTCTCTGGCGTTCAGATGTAATAAAAACATAAAATGTTGCACATTATGCAAACAAAAACACACAAGCACACACTCCCCCATCACACACACAAGCACATGGACTAACCAGAACTAACACACATTTAAATATACACCAAAGGAAAAGGAAGGAAGGACTCGGGAGCCGCCGCAGTGATGGAAGCGATGGAAGATTTCAGCTTTGACGGTGGCGCCGCATGTCTAACGTTCCGTTCGCCGTTTACATACACACACAGGGACACAGACAGGACACACAGATACTCGTATTCGTATTCGTACTCGTACCTTCTGTTCGGGGCAAGCTAAACCCACCAAAGTCTGGCACTAGGCGCTCTGCAGCTCTGCAGCTCTGGCTCTAGCTTTGGCTCTGCCCCTGGCTGTGTGTGTGCGGAGAGAACATTAAATTTATTTGAAATTATTATTATGCGCATTTACCTAACATTTGCATAACCGTCGACGCGTCGGTATGTGTGGCAGGGCAGTGTGCGGTGCCACAGTGAGTAAACGCCAATTTGTGAGTGAAATGCGGCCAGCGAGAGGAACTGGGCCAACAGCTTATAATTTGATTGAAAACTCCGCGCGAGGAGCTGGACCCAGGGATCCAGAGATGCACCAGCCAGACCCAGAGATGGTACGCCCTTGGGGCATCCTTATCCCACTACTGACAACTGGCTGCCAGAGCGCGTTTTTTACAGTTCGAAAAGCATTTATCACGCCGCGGGGCAGTCGAGTGTTGTCGAACGTTCCAAATATTTTGTCAATTTTATGGGCAAACGATATTAAGCATTCGCTTAATGCCTTAGTTTATGGCTTTAGTTGACCAACAAACATAAATAAACTGTGGCGAAAAAATGAGAAATGGAAACAACAGAAAACAGAAACCAGAAAAAATTTGGAAAATGAAAACATGGCGCATAAATTACGGGTCGTGTATGAAATGCGCACTAGCTTTCCCAGCACACACAAAGATGCACACACATCGAAAAATTGTTTTAAATAATTAAATGCTGGCTCTGCACTTATTTACACCATTTACCAAAAACAGAGTCCGGGCTCTGTGTGTGTGTGTGCAGGAAAAACGATAGTTTGACTCATTTACCTAGACTTTCGCACTTTCTAATACCCTACCGACTATTCTTTGTTCCAGAAGTACAGTGTTGGGTGGTCGCTCTGGCCGATACTCTTTGAGCAATGAAGTATACGTATATTTGCAGCACTACGTGTGGCATATACGAGTATGCCTACACACAGAGTAAAATCATATAAACATTGCTCTCAAAATGTGGTTTTGCTGCTGGTCTGCTGGTCTTTCTTGTTTCATTGTGGATGCAGGAGACAGCCAGTATCAGTCCAGCCTAGGCCTCTCTAAGATAGTCCTTGCGGGAGGAAGTAGTCCAGAAAGAAGGATTGCTTGGCTCGCATGGACTTTTCCTTGCCCTTGTGTTCAAAATTAATGTCAAACTCCAATCCGTAAATGTTCTTCAAGCTTGGCTTGATACTGAACATTCCCCTGATGGTCTCCTCCGGGCCGACGGTCAGTGGAGACTTCATATGGAAGACGGTCTGATTCCAGTGGGTCCAGAGGGCTTGCGGCGACGTGCTGAGGCATACGCGATTTGGCGATTTCCCGAAACCCACATCGAAATAGGCGAAGAAGGCGTGGACCTGCCCGCTGCGCGTGACCTTCAGCTCGTAGTGGCAGCGAGTGAAGCAGGACTGGCGGGGGGCGGTGTACAGGTCCAGCGACTTCACCAGGACGACCTTGCTCATCATCTGGCGTGCATCGACGTGCGCCACCACGGCAGTGCACTCGCAGCTGCGACGAATGGCCCCCATGTCGATGTCGTACAAATCGTTCCACTGGTCGAGGTCCTGGTCAACCTCACCCTCTTGACCCGAGATGGCGCCCAGGTACAGCTGTGCGGAATCCGGGAATATTAGTCCCCCAGGTGCCAGCCACTTGTCCCGGGCAAATATCAGCGATTCTAGCATGTTTTCGGAGAACAGGCAGTGACTGCGGATGCCACGGAACGTGAGGTTGGTTAGTGGGAAAAGGAAATACTTTTCGGGAACCACTTACCCCATCCAGTCGCAGAGTATGATGTCGACCTTCTCGATGCCCTCGGGCAGCTCTATCTCCTCCACCTTGCCTCTGATCACCGTGATGACGGCCGCGTATGAATTGTCCAGCACTATGCTGCGAGTATATTCCGCTATGCTTGCCGCTTCCACAGCTATCACCCTGTGTGCCCCTGACTCGGCAGCAAACAGCGAAAGCGTGCCCAGGCCGCATCCCACGTCCAAAACCGTCTTGAGGGGGATTTGGGTCTAATAAGTCGGCTCCAGATCTCATCCGAGTCTCGCATCCGCACTCACCTTGTCCTTGAAGGCCGCTGCATTGCAACGAATGGCCGAGCGGTAGGCCCTGTTCCGTGCGGAGTCCTTTAGCAGCCACTCCTGCACCTCCAGGCGGGCGTACATCTTGAAGTAGAGGGCCTCCTGTAGGCGATAATCGCGCACGCAGTCACCATATGCCATCTCTTCATTATCTCCCATTTCCTGCGAATCAAATATTTTTCCTGTCGAAGTTGCCTCCATCCTAATTTTTCTACAACTGAACCGAATATATTTTTTCGCAACGTCGAACCTTATTTTGACGTAAAAGGCAGAGGTATCATTTCTGGGGAAGTCTTGACTTTCATAATTAATTCCTTAAATGGCGGGCGTTTCCCCTTCCCCGTTGCAGCCCCTCTCCCACCCGCACGTGCATTAACTAATTAAAAATCTCATTAGCGTGCATAAATCAGCGTTATGCAGGACATAAATTGTATTATGATGAGTACATCCAGATCCAGGCAGACAGAGCGGAGGAGAGGGGCAGACCATCGCCCTGACCTACTGCCACGGACAATGGACAGTGGACAATGGAGACTGCGCCGGGAACGAATGATGATGAGATGGCGAAAGATTGCTCGAAACGGGGTCGCGGCAAACAGGGCTTGGCAGGGGCCGGGATATCGTTCACAACATCATCCGCCTGCTATCCCTTCGAAAACAATGTCTTCGTCTAGTCTTTGCTCGCAATTATGGCCGCCGCACTGCTTCCGGACATTCCCCAATTCGATTGTGGGAAAGAAAGTGAAAAGTGAAAGATGCCACTGCCCTGCCTCCGCCCGCCCCCTCTGACTGGTGACTGCTGGGAGCAATCGCACTCAGAGAATGTTGGTTTCTTGACTTAAGCAGGGCACAGCAAAGCGTGAAAACATCATAAAGATGAAAAATTATTATCTCCTTCTTCTGTTCCGTCCGTGCTGGTCATGGTGTGGCGGTGTGGCGGTGTGGCGGTGTGGCGGTGGAGCGGGGTTACTCTCCAGCATTTAGCTGCTCTGTTAGCGGCCCTGAATGAAATATCACATCCTGCAGAGGAATAAAAATCAGCGTCGGTAAAAATACACATAAGAAATAAGCAGGAAGCAGCCAGAGCTCGAACAGGAAAAGATACACACACACACACTAAGAGTGAGAGAGAAAGGCCGATAAACGCTCGCAGCGTCAAAAGACAATGACGAGGCAGGGTCCGGGGATGGGTCCGGGACAGGGACTGGATCCGGGACTAGGGACAACATCTGGGGGTTGGGGAATATTAAGCCGAGAGCAAATACAAAATACGAAACAAAAATAATAAAAAAATATATATATAAAGCTGGTTGACTGTCGGTTGGGTGGGTGTGTCCTGGTCCTGGTCCGACCAGGCATCAAAAGTGACGAAAAATTGTAAAAATAAAATATAATGGCAACGCAGTCTTTAGGCCAGAGTCTCTTCTGGAGACCGAGACAGCGTCCTGGACTTGGGCGATAATTTTTTATTTGTATACCAGCCGTAAGCTAGAGGGAGGCCCCAGTCAAAAAGGAGGCTTCAACGGGGTATAGGCAGAGGCAAACACAGATGCAGGAATCCGGGGTACAGGAGACCCACGGCTACACAGAAGCAAACACAAACACTTTGCGGCCATTGCCGTCAAGCTGCGCGTTATCCTTTGTGTAATTTCTGGTTTAATGAGGCGACATTGGAATGGACTTGCCTCCGCCTGCGCCTCTGCCTGTGCTTGTGCCTCGGTGCCACGATGCCATAGGTAACCATTTTTACACTCATACATTTTTACGAGCCGAGCATTAAGTTAAAATTTGTGTTAAATATTTTATTGTTTTTATGGCCACATGAACACCTTGCAGCACCGACACGAGCCACGAGCAAATTATGAGATTCCCGCAGGAAGAGAAGAAGATCAGAGACAATAATTCAAGCTCTGCCATGGCTGCCAGGACACTTCTTGGCCAGGCAGAACACGTCCTTCGATTCCCTCCGGACAGGGAATAGTAGCCCGTATCCCACTCTATGTCCCAGTCTCCTTCTTCGTCTCCGTCTCTGTCTCTGTCTGTCCGCGTGCGTGTGGTCATTAATAGTTGTGCAACTGTCCCCCAGATTGGTGGCACAGAACAAGGCAATCTTCTCAGTGCTTTGTTAGAAGCAAAATTGTGATTTTGGCGATTATGAAATTGCCAATTAGTTGCCTTCGCATCGGTCCCAGCTCCAGCTCCCAGGCCCCAGGTCTCAGGTGTGTCGGCTGTATCGGAGTGACAGCTGCAGAAGCTTGAGTCATCCCTTGACAGGTAGAACATATGGCATTACTCCTTTAACCTTTCAGGAGCGAACACTTCACAGCAACGAACATCACATGAACATCAACATCAACTTGTAGACGAATACAACTTTCGGCTGGCGGCTCCTTCGATCCTTTGCCAGCGAGCCAGGGACAAATTAGACGATGCATCAAGGAAGGAACTTTATTCCAGACCTATTACGGGGGGTCCCCAGTGAATTATGATTACGGATGAGGGCGGATGGGTTTATGGCAGTATTTGCAGATTTATTGCAGCTAAAAATCAGCGCTAATATAATGCATAAATCAGGCTGCTTAAGTCAACATATACTGCTGCCTGAATTGGGCATAAATACTGCACCAAGTTCCCGCCTCTACCTCTGCCTTCGCCTACATCCTTGGGCTCCTTGGGCCCGTATCTGCGACGACTAGATACGACCTGGGTTCCTGTGTTCGGGCTGGCCTGTGAACCAAGTGAAATTCAACGAAAACGAAATATTTTGGCAACGTCGGAGGTCTTCGTTGAAGCGGTAGGCGGGGGTATGCCTTTGGGGCGGCATCACGTCTCCGCCTTGCTGTGGCAGGGAGCGAGAGAGAGAGAGAGAGAGAGAGCAAGAACCCCAAGAGAACCGTGTAGCCCAGCGCAGGCGCTTTGGCACTCCGCCTTCCAGTTGCTCCGCTCTGAAATAGAGTCCAGAGTCCGCTCTCCGTCCACGTCTGCAAGGGAAATATTGGAGTCGAAAACAGGGAAACTTCTTCGAAACACTCACAGCAGATGTTCGCTAATTTAAATATTGCATCGTAGGTCAAGTCGTGAGAACTTTATGACTTGCCAAAATATCGTACAAAAGGTCCATCATCATCGTCCGCAGCAGCAGCAGCAGCAGTGCATGGCTTGAGGCTGGTGCAACGGAGAGCTCTGAACTGCAGGTAGTGCAGGCAGCACTCGTAGGCTCTACTCTGCCACAGATGCTGGACAGCATTCCCATAGCGGGGCCATAATTAAAAACCCATTTATCAGAGGGAGAGGGGGTGCGAGAGGCCAGCAATCGCTCCTCAAATTATCCAATTATCTGCCTCGACAGGGGACTGTTACGGTTCTACGGCTACTCAAATAGAAATACTCCGAGTGGTGGTGTTTGGCGTTTAACACATTTCCACATGGCTGAAGAGGTGGCCCCTCAGAAGAGGCCGCTACTCTGAGCTGGGCTTTTCAACGGGTTGCGCATGCGCCTGCCGCGTTTTCTGTGCGCCCAAAGCAAAGCGGGAAACGAGTTGGCCAGAACCAAACCAAACAGAACTGAAAACTGAAACTGGTTTTTGGGTCACTGCGAAAGGGCCGGCCGCCCCGAACAGGTAAACTCGAGATAATTATTCAATGGATGGCGAGTCGAGGCCCTCTCGGTTCTCAGGCCCGCATTCAGGCGCTCCAGAAAGGGCATAGCCAAAGGGTTAACGCGAGAGAGAGAGACGGAGACAGAGAGAACCGAACCGAACCACGAACCCGACTGTCCAGACAGGTTAGTCGTCCGCGGCGAAAGGTGAGCCCGACCAGCATCAGAGTATAAGAGATGCCGCCTGCCTGCTCTTTGCGCACGTTCTCTCTCTGTCACAGTCTCTCTCCTGCTCTCTCTCTCTCTCTCTCCGGAAGTTATGGTGGCTGCAATGCTGCCGACGCGACGCGGCCATAGGCGCTTTATTCCTCAATTGTTGTTCTGCGGCGTCGTACGTGAGCGCGGACTGAAGCATCGTCGAATCTCAATTTCAATCCGTATCTGAATCTGAATCGCAGCGTTTAGTGTCTCTGTCGGTTGTTGTAAGTGCTGTTTGTTGTCTCTGTTTATGTGTGCCCCCGTCTCGCTCTCTCTCTCTCTCTTCACCCGTCCCTGCGTCTGTGTGTGTGTGTGTGACTGTGCTTGAATCGGAAAATTGTACAAAATATGGATACGAAATGGATTAATAAAATCCGCTGAGGAAAGCGGTTACGGAGCGGCAATCAAGCGGAACGTAGTAGCATCAGTAGCAACCCCCCGCCCTGCCCAGTGCCAAAGGGGTGGGAACACCCCTCGGGAGTGAGTGTGCGTGAGTGAGTGTACATATGTGCCCGTGCCACTCGATAGTAACTGTAAAAAAAGCGAAAATTTCATGGATATTTGAGTGTGTTTTTGGCAGTTTTTACGCTCCTCGTCAAGAAACAGAACCAGAATCAGAACCAGAACCAGCGACAGAGCCAGAGCTAAAGCCAGGACCACACCCGCGCGGGTGCACAGGCTGAGAAAAGGAAAAAACTACAGCCGCTGTAGCAGAAGAGCCAAGAAAAACAGCAAAAACAGCAGAACAGAGGTCTGTAGAAGAAAAATTCCAGTTTCGTAAGGATCGCAAAACGAGAGAGCGGCTGAGCGGGAGAGAGCAAGAGCACTGTTCCCCAAGAGAGCGAGAGACAGAGAGTTCGAGAGTTGCCTGGAAGTTCTCCCACCGAAAAAGGGGAGGGAGCTGTGGCAAGGATTTTCGCGACAGTTGCGCAAGTGGGAAAATTCCCGTTATTATGGAATTTTCGCTAAACGAAAACCGTTACGCATCAGCTGTTGGCTTTTCCGAAATGGAATGACATTGAAAGAAGTCTGCGTAAATCTGAGAAAATTCTCCACCAATGGATATCCAAAATTCGTTGTGGCTTGCGAAATGAGTATCTATTTCGTGCAGCCCCAAAATAAGTGAAAGAATTTGACCAGGGAAGGGAATGCCAAAATAATACCCAATATTTTACTGGTCTTTGTCCCCCTGGAAAACTGGTACTTGACTGTCTCTGCCTTTGCCCCTCACTCTGTCTCTCTCTGCCTCTGCCTCTGCCTGTGATTCTCGCGCTCACTCTGGCTCTGGCTCTGGCTCTTGCTCTGGCTCTTGCTCTGTGCAGCACTTTTCCAACGCTGAGAGGAAGCAGCACGACGAGCTGTTTGTGTGGCTCGACAGCCAAACAGTCGCGAGTCTCGACAACGGCAATTGGTGTGGCGGTGCGACGTTTGGCACAGCTGTGAGGAGGAGCTGCTACTGTGATTTTCTGGGGGACCGTGCTTTAGAGTAAAGGGAAAACCCAAGAACAAAGGCAAGCAGCAGGCGTCAGTCCTCTCGAAGGGAGCAGGCTAATAAAGTGTCCTAATGCCATAATTATATAATGTACGTACTCGATGATGTGGCGGCAGAAATTACAAAGACAAAGGCGTGACCCTCGCGCCCCAATGCCGCCGCATGAGTCACGTGCGTACAAGTGTGAGTGTGTGAGTGTGACAGTCTCTGTGTGTGGTTCGGAGTGCCAAAGGACCTGCTTCGAATAGGACATCAAAAGTGCCAGACAATCGAAAACAATCGAGGCGTCGAGAGCCCTTTTGTTGACCAAAAAGACCAGACCTCAGACCCTAGACGTCGGACCAGACGCGATTACAACATCAAAAGCGAATACTCGTATATTTTCTTATTTTTACGCCATATTGATTTTCTTTTTGTTGTGCATAAAAGCCGCGCCTCTCCACAGCCGCCTCTGCGTCTCAGTGTGTGGTGTGTGTGTGTGTGTGTGTTTGTGTGTTTATGCCTCGTGTTATGTCTTATGTTTTCCCTTTGCTCTCCCTTTTCTCCCCATCTTGCCTCCCTCCTGGCCCCCAATCAACCAAAGAATAACATAAAAATGGTCCTTCCTTTGTGCTGCAGCCCACGTAAAAAGTCAACGGCCACGACTACGGCATCGGTTTCAAAGTCCTTCTTCCTTCATCCTTCATCAAACGCATATCCAAGTGAATGCTTGAATGCTTGAAGGGAAAGTGTCATAAAGCGTGCGATTATCCTGTAAACAAAGTGTAAAACGCGCACAGAGCAACAACAGAACAGCCATCCCCCCGCATCAAGAACAACATCCACATCCACATCCACATCCACATCCAGGAGTTCCAGCGCCAGGTCCTGCTCCAAATAAAACCCATTTACCATTTGGACTGCATGAAAAGCGGGAAAGCGGAAAGAACAAAAGCAAACAGCGAACGAAAACGGAATCATAACAGGGGAGCGGGAACTGGAACGGGAACCCCTGTCAGATTCAGGATTTTTACGACCTGAGCAATCAATTCTGCTGAGTTGTGCGTTTCTGCTGGTCAAGGGACCTCCCTTCCGCCTGGTATCCGCCCCCACCCACGAGAACAGCACTATTGGAATTTGGATCTGAGCACATCGTATAATGGTTGCCCAAGTGAGGTGAGTCACACTCGGAACACCGCATAAACATGCTGCCAATTTTCAATATTCGTCCAGTCCTGCCCGGGGGAAAACGAGACTAAAACGATGCACAAATTTGAGGCCAGAAGAAAAACTATGTTCTACTCCGCAGGGGAAACAAAAGCTAGACACAGGGGTGGAAATTTGGGGGGAAGAACAAAGCATATACTGCCAATACTCGGGCGGACGGGCGAGCTGAACAAGGCAATCAAATATTCCCGAGGTCCGGAGGCTAAAATTTAATTAAAATTTATGAAATTTTCAATTACATTGGCAAGTGTAAATAAGTGCAAATGCGAGCATTAGGGCACAATTCAATTACAAAATATATTTGAGACCAAAAAAACACACGAACACGCACACTCGCACTCACCGGAAAAACAACAACTAATAAAAACTGGGCCAGAAAACAAACGTCAGGGAAAATACCGGACGGCCAGCCAGTACTCTCCGAGTACTCTGTTGGCTGCCCCAGCCAGCCGGGGATTGGTACTCTGTTTGTCCGAATGCAACATGTTTGGCTGCCGGACAGTGAGAGGCAATGGAAAGGAAAGGGAGCTTGATTGGTTTTGTGGCTTTGAGGGGACGTCCTCCTCAGTCTTCAAGCCCGGGGAATGATATTGAGACAGAGACTGAGAGACAGAGAAACTGAAGACTGATGGGACAGATGGTCAGTGCAATTGGAAATACTCGTAACGAAGCAACAAACATGTGTAACCGATGATGGCGACGACGACGACTAGAACGACAAAGGGCCAGAGTTATTAGTAGCATCTGTGGATGTGGATGCGGACTGTGGCCCAGAGATGGGCCCAGGAAATTGAAATTCCCATAAACGGAGCCACAGCACGGAGCAAAGGGGAAACTGAGATACAACTAAGTTTTTCGCTTCACTAAACTCTCTGTCTCTGTTCTGTCGGTTCTTTCGATTTTTTCGGTTCTGTGTGTGTGTCTCTGGCATTTCTGCAATCATTTATTCGAATTTCCACTTTCCGTCGGCGGCCCCAGGCCTCATTTCCGAGCACAAGCTGTATGGATTTGTACTTCAAAGCTCGGCGGGTCTTCACATGGCTCATAATGATAAATGAAGGCGTCTCGCTGCGATCGATGATTCTCCTCAAAGAAGGAAAGAAAGGATTATTCCCCAGACATTTCCACTCCCTCACATGAGTGAAAGATTTATTGTATGGGCTGCTGCTGAGTAGCGGAGTCGCATGACAGCGGCAGCAATCATCACCAAATCGATTTCTCATTACATACGGATGATCCCCACCCCCATGCCCATCCAACTTTACATACGACTTCAGGCTGTAGGAGTGGGCGGCTTGCGTGACTGCCAGCTAAGGTCATATGCAGAGCAGAGCCAGATCCAGAGTCAGAGTCCAATAAAAAACCAAAGCCTAAACCCCATTCAAACGGGTTATGGCTTATGATGACGTCGCTTGGCTACACAGCCAGCCCCATAATGATAACGATATTTTCTCACGAATGCAGCCAAATCGGTGGAACAAAACATAAACAATGCGAGAAAACTCTAAACAAAACTTCGGATCGTAGCAGCACGGGGGATCGCTGGTCGCTGGTCGCTGGTCGCTGGTCACTCGTCAGTCGTCAGTCAGAGAGTCTGCCTTAGCGCTCAAGTATGTCTACGATTCGTGGTTCATTGGAATTTTGTTCGTGGATGGAGGGAGGATGGAGGTCTGGTCTGGTCTGGAGCATCGTTTGTTATCCAATAACCAGAGCAAACCAGAGCGCGGACGCTCGAGCGATCGTATTATGCGCGGAAGTCTGAGAACCGCAGAGAGCTTTGGGTACGAGCGTACACACACTCTGTTGGATCCAAAGTTGGCGCCCAAAAAACTGGCGCACATAATGAGGAGAGGCCTGAGCCTCAGGTGAGCGGTCGGGGTCGCAGTCGGGGAGAGCTGAAACTTGAGTCCAAAACAAAAGCCAGAGACGTAGAAGGCGTAGATGTGTATGGAGGGAGAAGTTCAAGTCTTGGAGATCGGCTTACACTGGAGTTATGTATCTCTATGTCTTATGTATCGCATCTGTATCAGTGTGTGTGGGCCTATATACAGCATCGTCGAACTTCAGTTTCGTATAAGAGAGCGCGGGCTCAAGTCAACTCTACTTGACTCGAACTTGTTTTTCTTTTTTAATGCGACTCCCGACTCAAGAGTCCGATAGATACACAGAATTTCCTGCAGCAGTCGCTCACTCTTCCTCGAAGCGTGTGTATGTGTGTGTGGTGTGTGTATCTATGTTGAGCTCTGGATGAAAACAGAAAATGCAATTTGCTGTCGACGATCTTGGTGAAGCAGCAGCGACATCCAGCAGCAGCGACATCAGCAGACAGGTAGCCAGGGAAACCATTTCACAGATGTAGGGCTTCGACTGATGGTGGAAGGTGGGAAGGTGCAGGCTGCACCATCCATGGCATACTCTCGAGTCGAGTCGGGTCGAGTAGTGCACCCACAACACATCAGGAAGGTAGTGGCAGGGGCATGGCTTCGCTTTTGTTGTGTTTTTACACTCCATTGGCAGTGAAGCGTTAAAATTGACCCAGTTGTTGATTTATTTTTACAGCTCTGCGAAAAGGGAGCCTGCGGAGGTACGTGGTAAGGGGGGAGAGTGATGGTGTCGTGGCATTTCTTCTTATTTTCGCCTGCAACTGCAACATGAAGAACAATACCGAATTTTCGTTTTCAATTTCCATTTATATGCATGAATTTTGGATTTCTGAATAGTTGAGCGAGCGGGCTGCACGATTTGTGACTCGTTTCGCTTTAAGGTCCGCAGCCTGCCACAACACAGCTGCGGCGGCCGTGCACGAATGCATTTTCAATTTGCTGGCGAAACTCCGGCCTGGAATCGAGGGAATGGAATGGAATGGCAGGCGGAGGCAGCAGGGAGCTGGGGCAGAGCGCGGGGGCAGGGGGGATGCAGCAACTTTGTAGTTAAAGTTGAAAATTGTTAGCATTTTTTCGCTTGCGATAAAAATAAGTACGAGAGTTGCCCCAAGAGGACGCAGCAAAGTACTGTCAGAGACAACTTTGCCCCTGCTCCCTGCCCCTCTTCCCCGTGTATGTCTCTCTTTTTGTAGCTTGCCTCTCTTTTAATAACTATGCGGGTTCTTCTTTTGTTTTCCTACGGCCCAAACTTCTGGCGTGGCCAAAGAGAGAGGGCGAGCAACAGCGGAATGTGAAAATGTTTAAGTGGAAAGTCAGGGAAATTAAAATATTTCCATACTGCAAAAATGCACGGACTTTAAGGACTTTTGAGACTGCGATTTCATACAAAAAAAGGGCAACAGAAAAGGAGTCACTGGGTCCGGCCATAAGGGTTAACCACTACCAAAAGCGGCCACAAATGGGAATCCAGACCCACTCTGCACCACGACATCCAGCACCCCCCCCCCCCCCCCCCCCCCCCCCCGTTCCCACCCCATCCAGCCGGCCGTCTAGAGCGGACTCTGTGTTGTAAAGTGTTCGGTGTTCATTATTTCGTAGTGGCCATTAAAGTAATTTGCCACACTTGTCGCCGGCCATTAGGCCCCATTAAAGCGCAATCAGAAATCTTGCTCCCCGCCCACGTTCTCAAAGGCCTCTCCTTGACCAGAAGGTCCTTCCCCCTGCTACCCCGATACTCGAGTATACTCGAGTATCAATTTGAACAACGAAAAAGTTGCCAAAGTTTCCGATGCACGAACCCTTTTTATTAGTTTTGAGATATCGACAGGACTCCCCAGCCAGCCAGCCAGCCCCAGCTAGCCAGCCAGCCAGAGTAAGAGGAGAGGCAGCAAGGGAGCGAGGACCAGCTTTTAATAAGGACATTCAGGCCACAACAGCAAATAGTTCAATGGACTCGTCAAATGCTCTGGCTCCTGCTCCTGCTCCTGCTCCTGGTATTGGTGTTGGTGGGAGAGAGAGAGCTCCGCCCGAGTGTGCCTTTTTTCGCTTGCTTTTGTATGAAATATAAGACGCAGCTTAGTCCCAGACCCAGTACCAGTTACAGTCCCAGTCGCGCTGAAAAATCAATAACCTGCCAAAGTGCTGCTCTCTCTCTCTCTCGCTCGCTCGTTCGCTCTCTGGTAAAAAAAAAGAAGTATCCGTGCCAGTGGCCCGCTACCTACACACACAAACAGAACATCTGCATCTGGCCTAAAGAAAGGAACGGAACGCCGCCGATTGGCGAAACTGTTTACAGAACTTGGCCAAGTTTCGCGAGGCATCGCAGGCAGCGTCGTGTCCTCTATGGCCTGCTCTTGGGCGTCGTTGTGTTGTTTACTTATTCAATTTGAAGCTGTTTGAACGGCGCTGATATGCCCATTATAAGGTACAGCACATGACATATACGTAATTACGTTTGTCGCTGGCACGCCACTCCACTCCACTCCGCGGCACTTCGTGGCACCCCCCATCCATCCCATCCCGTCCCGTCCGATTGCCACTTTAAAGCATGGAAATTTATTTATTGCATAATGGGAAAAGTTTTGCACTTCAGTCATGATTTGCCTCTCCTCTCCCTTCTACTCGCTGCGGTCCTCCTGCTCGTCCTTGCTCTTGTTCTTGTGCTCCTCCTCCTCCTCCTCCTCCTTTCCCTCCTTTTCCTTCTTTCATTTCAGCATTTCAGCATTTGATGCAGCGGCCAAAAGACGTGCGTAAACAGGGTGCCGTGGAGCTGCCTCGAACGGAGCAAAGTCGACTCTCGAGTGCTAAACTTTTTTCCCCGAATCCCGTTTGCCTCTTCCCTTCCCTCCTTCCCTCCCTCCTCCACCGCTGCTGCTCGAAATCAACTTTATGCGAGAGGAGAGGCAGGCGCAAAAGAGCCAAGCAACGCAGCAAAGTTTATGGTCATGTCCGCTCTCAAGGAGTCGAGCGGTCGATGGAGTGCGACTTGGGGGTAGCTCTTCTCTCGGAGCTCTGAATGCTGCCTGAACGGATGGATGGTTGAAAGGTTGGATGGTTGGGTGGCGT